AGTTATTATATGAGTCCGGGTACAATCTTGCCAGTGCAGCGAGTAGGGGGGCTGTTGGATGTACTCACAGCATGACAGATTATTTCGAGTCAGAACTTTCCGAACAGATGGAGCGGGGAGATCCGGGGGTTCAACAGTTGGTATGGATTAGATTTGGTGGTACCAAATTTACCACATATTGCATGATTGAGGGTATGGGTGTCTACAGCGGAATTGTGTGCGTGGCTTGTGGTGTCTCACTTCTTCTTTTTTCGTGTATAATCAAGTCCTTTTTCCCGGCTCTCACGCCACCCACCGGCTTCCACGCCACTACTCCGGCTATCACGCCAACCCGGCTTCCACGCCTTCAGGACTCCCACGTCCCTGCATATACCTTTACATCAGGGCTTCTACGCCACCCGGCTTCCACGCCAAAGACTATACCACGCCAAAGACTATACCATACCCGAGCTTCCACGCTCCACCACGAGAGGGCTCTCACGCCCGCAAATAGTTCTACATTCTTCACCGTTGGCAGTACCCAGCTGCTGGCACATTTATTTCCCACCACGGGACCCCGCGCCGAGGCACACACGCACAAAGCTACTCAACACCGATGCATGTCCCTACCGTTGAACAATCCGATACACAATACCCACCGTTTGAAGTTGGCGTCTTGTTTGAGAGTGGATGTGACAGATTTGCGTAGAATAGGGTAAGATGTTATCATGAACGGAGAAGAAAGGGCTTTTCCAACACGGAGATGTAGCACGGATCAAAGCATTTGTTGGATTTAAGCGNGGTAAGATGTTATCATGAACGGAGAAGAAAGGACTTTTCCAACACGGAGATGTAGCACGGATCAAAGCATTTGTTGAATTTAAGCGTTTACAAGAGGACATCAACGCAATAGTATTTTAGCAAGCTTACGAACGCATGTAGGATACCATGAGGATTGTCATTGGTTTTATTTCAAATTGAAGAGGAGATATTTTTACGATGTAAGTGACAGTAGAATAAGTCCTATATATGTTGTTGTACTTCGTATTCGTTTCATATTCATGTAGAGTGTGAGACATTAAGTGTTCTGAGGTACATCTGTGTTTGTTTTTTTTTTGCCTTCCGACAAATATTGCTGCAATTGTCGGAAGGCAAAATATATATATATATACATGTAGTCACCAGGTTTTGGCGTCTACGACAACAAAAGTTTAGCATCTCTTTCACCATACCCGCAGCCCTACAACGGTACAAACCAATGAGGACCTCAACCTTTTGCTACTACTGCTGTGTGGTATATATCGAGCGTGGAAAGTCGATCCCCAACGGGCGGGCTTGTCCTTCTGACTCACGGCCAGGTAGAAAGCAGGGGGAAGCCCAACAATCAACGGGCGAGCCATAGTGACAGTCTTGTTTCGAATGCACCTACGCGTTTCCACAGGCAATCGTACAAAAAGCGTTTGATGGTTGCCTGCTAAACTACCGTACTGGTACTGGGTATAACGCTGGAGGCCAAAGAAGCCTACCGTATGCAGGTTCGAGCTGAAGGTGGGACAACGCCTTGTCTATTGCGGGGGGGGATCATAGTTCAATGCCATGCTCTGTCTGTGTCGATTTGGGTGGCTGCAGTGGCAAGTTCACTCTCCACTCGTACGCTGACGTTGCTATTATTATACATGATCTGGCACGAGAGAGAGATAAAACAACACTTATCAGTCAGTCATTGTTGAAGGAATGGAAACGGACTAACACAGCAGGCACAGGTACCGTTAGGCTATGGGGGCTACATACGACAGCGAGAAAACGTGCCGGCAGTTTTTTTTTATTTTCTTAATATCACACAACAAATAAATCCATCTTTACCTATAGAAATATGTCTAGGATAGATTCGCAATGAATCCATAGCGTGAGCGAAAGGCTACCCGTATCTCTACGGGTTCCCAGACAGCATACTACAACGATATCTCCCCTGTGGATAACAGGCTCAACAAGACAGTTTGGTAGCCATCTTGTGTATCTATCTATGTGTATGTTGGGAAGTTGTAGACGGAAGATTTAGCGGAACTCGGTTTGTCGGGTGTTCTATTATGGCACCCGTGTGTGCTTGCGGAGCAAACGCGTCTCGGGGTGTGTATATTTTCGTCAACTTATTTTTTGTGTGTGACGTATGGGGGCATGTGCGGCGCGGGAGAACATATTTACCTTGTTGTGTAATGACATGTCGTTAGATGTGAGAAGGGCACGGGAGAACATTATCTCATCATTGCCTCCTGACGTGGCCGCCGATAGAGGCGTGTGGTTGGGGTTTCATCACTGACATGTGTGTGTGTGTGTGTTAAATGCAGTGGGTATGGTCGCCTCTCTCGCCCGTGTGTCGGCAGAAGAAGGTATAGCTACCTTTCCCATTAATTTATAGGCAGCGCGGACCATAAGGAAAGACAGAGTGTATCATTTCATGCATGTACATCATTTATGTGTTGTTGTTGTTGTTGTTGTTGTTGTTGTTGTTGTTGTTGTTGTCTTCACATCAAAAACCGTTCCGATCTCTCTCTACCCAGTACCTTCTTATGTCCGTACTGATCCAACACTCGACGCGGTCGATTCCCGTGGTCGCAGGCTAACTTACCGTAGAATGGTACACTCAAATAAAATTGCACCGAGGGGTCCGCAAGTCAATAGAAATCAACGACAGACATTCTGGAGTCCTCCACTCCCTCTGCGAGCTATGCGAGGTAACAACTGAGACTAGGAGTCACCATCACGGGCCGAAGAGAATGAGGTACACCCCCTTGGTTCAATCTTGGTACCTCACAACGCAAGCAGGGACAAGGCCATCTGGCAGAGAAAAAGAGAGAGAAGGAGAAGGAGAAAAAGAGGAGAAAAGTATAATGTGGAAAGCGAGGAATGAGAGGTTGTTCCAGCTTATATTCTACGAAGCAGTTTTGACGGTGTGTGTATGGGTAGGGGGATTAATCTCTGTGTCCGTGTCGTTCCCAGATGTTGTCGCATCAAGTGGCAGCATGTCCCATGGACAGGTAGACGTGGAAGGGCGGCGACAGGTGAACGGCAGCAGTAGTATGTTGTGCATGGTGGCATGTTGGGCTTGTACAAAGACGCAGTCCATCTTCGACCACACACAAAGAAGTTTGTTCGTACCTGTCAGAGTTTTGGAGGGCCCAAGTCAGTCTCAAGCAGCAGCAGTAGGAAGGAGCAAACAGGCGCAGTGCTTCTCTACAGCTTTAGAATCCGTCCTACTCAAATCCTAACGGAGATGATTACGTATCGCACAACGGCTGGATCCGAAATATCGGCCATTTTTTTAAGACCGTTCCAAAGGAAGGGCAAAAAATCCCTACTATATAGTCGTCCGATGTCGTCATCCACAACGACGAAGCCANTGTCCCATGGACAGGTAGACGTGGAAGGGCGGCGACAGGTGAACGGCAGCAGTAGTATGTTGTGCATGGTGGCATGTTGGGCTTGTACAAAGACGCAGTCCATCTTCGACCACACACAAAGAAGTTTGTTCGTACCTGTCAGAGTTTTGGAGGGCCCAAGTCAGTCTCAAGCAGCAGCAGTAGGAAGGAGCAAACAGGCGCAGTGCTTCTCTACAGCTTTAGAATCCGTCCTACTCAAATCCTAACGGAGATGATTACGTATCGCACAACGGCTGGATCCGAAATATCGGCCATTTTTTTAAGACCGTTCCAAAGGAAGGGCAAAAAATCCCTACTATATAGTCGTCCGATGTCGTCATCCACAACGACGAAGCCACATGTTATCTCTGAGATTCACAATTTTCAAATTTTCAAATTTGCCGTGGATGAGCAATGATGAGGATTGAGTCGTTGATGTCGCCAGCTGATGGATTGACATTCTCCGGTCAGCACAACGGTAGCACCGGGGCAGCGCCGACAGAGTCATCCTTAGCGAGCCCTCTCAATGGTGCAGCACGCTAGCTATGGTACGTCCGATCGGTTTCGTGTGGTGGGTGGTTTGGACCGCTGTGGACGACTCTAACAACTATTAATAGTCTAAATATAACTGCTGCTGTATTTCTGCTACCGAGCAGGGAAAGGTAGAAACAACAATTATCAGTCAGGTAGTGTTGAAGGAATGGAAACGGACTAACACACACAGCAGGGACAGGTACCGTTAGGCTATGGGGGCTACATGCGACAGCAGGAGTAGGATGCTGCCACCGCTGTCACTCTGCTGCACATGGAGTTCGGAGGTCTGTATGTTGTCGATGGGTGTTGTCTATGGACACCGAGAAACAGCCGCAGTAATTTACCGGCCTTTTACACGGACGCGCACGTAGGTGTTGTGGTGTTTGATTGGCGAATCTGTTACACCGCCAGCTGTGACAACATAATAAACAAAAAAACGAGCAGAGAGAGAGCTCGGTGACACGGGACAAGCGACACAAGCAGCGTCCGCGAACGTTTGAACACGACAAGACCCGAGACATTCACAGAGGTGCGGCGGGAGCATACTCGTCAACAACAAGTGGGTATTGGTGGCCAAGAAGAGGGTGACCCAGTGGCAGGCACGGTGCAAGGCAGCAGCAGTAGGTGACAAGACCAACACACGCGATGCATTTTGAATGTTTGTGCCTCCCTTATTACTTTGAATCTTGCTTGGGTCTACCAGGTACGCCGTAGTATTAGACATACAAATCTTGAGAACCCCGCCGCGTGTGTGTGCCATGTGTATGTATGCCGTCGGCGTCGAAGTGCCGAAGATCTTGAGGTCAAAACCAGACCCAAATCCCCCTCATCCCTCCAGATACATTGCCCGAGGTAGCCGTTTCTTGTGTCGTCTCGCTCTCTCCCCTCCTGCTGTCCCGAGCTCGAGTGGAGTGAGTGGAGATCGATAATGCCATTACTCCGTAGCTCGTGTACCAGCGCAAGTCGCTTCAGTTTACGGACATCAAGATACATCCCATCCAAACGGTTCCGCGAAGTCTACCCACTTCCCATCGCCCTCCCCTCGTGCTTCGTACCACACCTGCAACAGCAATGGGACCCAAACTCAAGAAGAGCAAAGCTTTCACAGGCAAGATCATGGAGGGGAGATCGAGCATCTCCAGCTGCTTTTCGAAGGTAGATACCGCGGTACCTGCTGTTGTTGTGCAACATTCAAAATTCAACGTTGACATGTACCAGGTACTATAGGTAATCCATTTTCAATCTAACCGCCCGTTCCGGCACGAGCGTGTGAGATAATCATCGTGGGCTGCCGCGCTCTCCGCTCGCTCGCCGCGCACGAACACCCGCCCCCCACCCAACAACTTTCCGTGTGAAGATGTGGCTGTCACGGGGCCATAGTTTAGGAGTCGTTTGTTGCTGCTTTTTGTGCGTACATGTAGCAACCGTGCATGTTGAAGTTGTGAGCGCGACCAGAATTGCCGTGTTTTTTTTGTGCTAAAGTTTGTGTACACAGCAGTAAAGAAAGCATGGAAACAGCAGTTCGATCCAGTCATGCTGCACCTCTTCAACCGCTTGACATGCCCAGGAATACGAAACAATGCCTTTCCGCCACCGCTCGCATCCTGTACGTTGTCACTCACAGAGCACGAGTTTGCACGTTTGCACCTTTAACCACGTGACATCTCGTGATACTTTTTGCTTTGTGCATGTCGCCCTGCCGCACTTTATTTTTTGCGGAAGTGTGGGAGAATTACTGCGCGGTGTTCTCCCTCTGCGCGGGAGCAAGGACCAAGGACGGCGGTACCTTCAAGAACGCCACCGCCGCTACCGGTGACATCGTCGGCGTAAGTGCATGCATTCGTTCCAAAGTGTATCAAGTCGCTCGATGTGTACGTTCCCGGCTGCCGCGTGTTAAAGATGTTGCCATCAGGGTGGAAATTCACGAGGGTGTAGACTGCTGTCTGTAGACTGC